GCGCTAAGAAGATTGAACCTAAGACCCTTAACATATGATATGTTTTGGAACAAAAGTCCAGATCTTCTTAGTTCTCCTGTCCGATCCCCTTAGTTTCTCCTTTCTTTTCTTCATTTTCAAAGGTGACCTTTGGTCCTTCTCCTGGTGTGAAATTTTTCAGCACCCTTCTGGTGCCTGTCATGTGCCTGGAGCAGCCTGAATCAATGTACCAAATTTCTTTTGTTACTGCTCCAGCACATTCCTGCTTTTATTAACAACAAGAGTTACGAATCCACTGATTTGTGGATTCCTTCTGAACCAACTTGGGCATCCATGCCCATCTAGAACCATCCAACCCAAGTAAAATAGGTTCATAGCCATTAAAGGTTTTGTAAGTATAAGGTATGGTTGTGTACTGGTTTATATTTCTAAGGAAGGTTTTTTGTTTGGGTGGTTTGTTTGGTTTTCCTTTGGTCTTTTGGTAATGAAAGTATCTTTTTGGTTAGGGATTTCTTTGTGGAGCTGGCTGATATCTGGGTTGTCTGAGGTGTGGTTTCTTGTGATGATGGTGGGTGTTTGATGAGGAACTTTTTAGTGGTTTATACAACATTTTGTATCCAAGACCAGCCAAATTCCAGTTTTGTTGAATTTCTTCACATGGGGGTTTTCTATTCTACTCAGTTTTTCTTTAAGAAGAAAATTTTCTTCCTCTAAGAGATCTTTCTTTTGAATAACTTCACCTAACTGTGCTTTTCTTATTCTCAAGTTCTCTTTGATCTTTTCATTTTCAGTATTTAGAATGAACTGTGATCTTTGGATGTTTCAAACTCAGCTAGAAGTGATTCTAAATCTGTGCTTCAGCAATCTGAAATATCTTAGTAGACAGAAGAATTGGATGCTACCTCATCATAATCTGTTCTGGTCATAAGGAATTGAGAGAGAAATCCATTGTCATCAAAGTTGAATTGATCCTTGCTAGATATTCAAGGAGACAACTGATCAGTGGCAGCTGACTGCCGATTGTGAGCCATTAGGCAAAATAGAGCTTCTTCTGAACTTTCAGAGCTCAAACTCTCATCATCTGAGATGTCACTTTCTTCATTGCTTTTAGCTTTCTTCTCACTAACAAAGGCTTGTCTCTTGCCCTTGAAAGTTTGTTGGTTGAAGTTGATTTTTGCTTGCTGTCCTTGGTACTTGTTGACCAATGGAAATGGATATTCATTTTTTAAATGTCCTGGTTGTCTACAGTTGTAGCAGAGGACAACATCTTTACTTGAATTTTTCTTTCTCTTCTGGGTGGGTAGGAGAGTGTTCTTCTTGAGGAGCTGGGTTCTTCCCTTTTGATGAACCTTTTGAACTTTCTCACAAACATGGCGAATTGATCTTCTGTGAGAAGCTTGTTGTGAGTTTTCTCTCCTTCCTTTGATTTGGATGGTTCTGTCACGAGGGCCAGTGTCTTTGCTTCCTCCTTTTCTTCCTTAATCTCTTTCATCTCAAATTCATATGCTTTTAGATCATTGAACAGTTTGGTGGTTGAGACAGCACTTAAGTCTCTGCTCTCTCTCACAGCGGTTACCTTCATATCCCACTTGCTGGAAGTCCTCTTAGTACCTTAAGAGAGATTTCTTTTTGAGTTAAAATCTTTCCCAAGTCAGAGATTTCCGAAGTGATTTGTAAGAAACTTGTCTCCATGTTCAGTATGGCTTCTTGAGGCAGCATTTTGAAATCCTCAAATTTCTTGAGAGCAATGGTCAGCTTGTTATCCTTCTCCTGCTCATCTCCTGCACCAATCTTGATGAGTTCCTCCCATGCTTCTTTTGTTGTTTCACATTTCCCGATTCTTGGAAATATGGTTTCACTTATAGCTTTGAAAAGAATATCCTTGGCAATATTATCCAAGTTATTTCTTTTCCTATCTTCACTGGTCCATTCTGGCTTGGGTTTAGGAATGTATTCATCAGTTTCTGAATTTGCGGCTCTTTGTGTGTTGACTTTCATGATTTGTATGGGTCCAGTAGTTATGACTTCTAGCATCTCATCATGCAAAGCACTGAGATGTGATTTCATCCTTAATTTCCAGTCATCAAACTTTTCAAAGTTGAACAAGAGATTTGTGGCTAGATGATTATCCATGGCTCAAGTGTGTGTGCGGGAAGGTGTTTTGGATCTGGGTTCAAAAAATAATCAGTTAAGAAACTGATTCTAGGAACACTAGCTCTCATACCACTTAATGGTCCCGGGTAAAAGTCTAGAGGGGGGGTGAATAGACTTTAAAACTTTCTGGATTAGTCTTATTCCTCTTTGTGAGTTAGATTCTTAAGCCTTTGGAGAGGCCTTAGAATCAGCAACGAAAGACTTGACTTTTGAGAAACACACTATGAGATTTGGACAACATACTTTTCTGGGAGGGATCAGCTGACTGCCGAAACTATGTTTTGTGGGAGCTGTTTTCTGGGAATTGGTTAAGGCTTGTTGGTAGTTTCTTTAGTGGATTAAAGAGTTTGACACACAGATATATCCTTGTTCGGATGTGGTGTAACCCTCTTACATCCAGTCCCACCCTATAGATGGATTTCCACTAAGCTATTAACCAATACACTTAGTGCCCAGTTTACCCTTGATCAAAGGCATAAACTGTCAGGTTTTCACAAGGAGTGACACCTACTCCAAGTTACTCTTGCCTCTAAGTTTTTCACTAATGAATCAGTCTGATTCAAGAGCTACTCATGTCCTAATCTACCCTCTCTTTGGATCACAATTTCTTCCAAAAGAGTTTACAACTTTCTCCCAACTATTCTAAGCATCTTAGTATGAATTTTCAAAGTGAACTAGTCTAAGAGCTTAAAGAGGAGTGAACGAGCTGGGAATAAAGTGATGGATTAACACTTTATCCTTTTTGCTAGATATTCTAATATAAACGTCTTGATTGCACTAAGCTCGCTGAGTCTTCCTCGTCACCTCCCTTGTGTATTTATAGACTTCTTGTAGTTGAATAACTCTCGTTGGTTGAGGAGATTCAATCTTGATCGTTGAAGCTTTCCACTTGATCTCCAACATGCTATCTTCTTGTCTTCTTTCCCAGTAGCCTGAGTCTCTTTTTGTTCCTTTCTTCGAGCCCATGCGTGCACTTGTAAATAAGAGAGTATGGGTTGACTTACAAAAGTTCTTCCTAGGTCGTAGCCCACTTGCCAAGAATAGGTTCTCATGACTTTCCTTTTTAGCCAAGTTGCAAAAGAAAAACAAATATATTTTTCTTTTAATTTTGAAAGTAATACCCCCAACTTTTGGAACGTGCAATCAACTGCCTTAGTTTCGGTAGGCTACCGATTTTCACAACAAACGGTCAACTCTTTTGTACCTTTATTTTTTTCTTTGTTTTTGGTACTTCTTCTTTTGTTTGTACTTTTCTCATGCATGCAAACGTAAAACATAAAATACAAGATCAAGTTTGAGTCTACAATACATGCATCATCAAAATCTAGAGGGACCTAACAGTAATTAATGTAAAAACATTGACTAATCGTCACTTAGCAACACTTCAACATTAATATAGATAGGCTAAGAGAATAATTAATATTCAAGAAAGAAATTTAAAAAACAACTCACAACTTTAACATTCAACAAACTTCAAGAGCAAAACCAAGAATAAAGAAGTTAAGCTCCTTATTTGAAGACTAAACATCCTAGAAATCATAAAGAAAATAAGTATTCTATTTCTGAGCTTAAGTATATGAAAGATTTGATATCAAAATGGGAAGAAACAATGATCTGTTTATAGATATTTTGGTGAGGTTGGACAGAATACCCGATCAGATATAGAGAATACTCGACCGAGTATGTCGATATACCCAGTCAAGTATATGTCCATATCTAATTTCTCGCGTTGTCTTGCTTTACTTTATCTTGTATATCTCCGGGTCAAACTTACTCGACCAGATGTTAATTATACCCATCGAATGTGACACAATCACATTTCTTGCATGATTTCTTGTTCTCTTACACCTTCTTTTCATCTTGTAAGATGTCTTCTATGATTCTTTGTTGCTCATCGATTGATTCATGATTGCACCATAAGTGGGCAATTACAAAGAGTACAAAATATCTACTCGTGGGCGGGGGAGAGGACATACAACAAACACCCCATGACAAATTTCCTTGATTTGATCACTTAGTGGTGACAGTAGGGGTGGACTCGGTCGTGCCGGGCCGGGTCAAGCCCAATCCCCGGCGGGCTACAATACTAAGGAACAAAGGCCCTATACTGACCCAATTTATACCGGTTCCAGTCCGGGCTACCCGGCTGGGCCTGGGCCCGGCCTTGATCTAGGCCTAAGTCAGGCCTCTTTTTAATTTTTTTTTAATATTTTCTTAAATCAGTACAAGAAGTGATAGAGAGAATTGTATAGTTGTAGAGATATTTAATTGTATAGGTGTAAGAGAATTGGAGAAGATGAAGATGATTAGAGAATAGGAAAAATTGGAGAATAGATGTAGAGAAATGTTTAGAATATAGATATTTTTATAGGGGGTTTTACCCCCAACCGACCCACCCCCAAGGGCTCTATAGTTGTAGGCAACGGCTGGTGACCAGCCCATTAAATTTAAACCCAGTTTCTTTTTTTCTTTTTTTGAATTATAGCCGCCCAGCCTGAACTGGTCCATTATATTTTAGCCCGAAGCCCATCCCATTAACCCTCCGGTATGGGTACCGAGTCGTTACCGGTCCCGGGTCAGGTCCCAAGTACCGGGTCGTTACAGGTCCCAGGTCAACCCGTCCCACTCCATCCCTAGGTGGTGGTGGTGGTGGTGGTGATGCTAAGGTGGAGGAGAGCAACAACAACATAATGGTGGCGGCGGCAACGGTGGTAATAGACAATGGAATTACTTCTTGAGCACGCACAATGACCGCACACGGCACACATCAATATTTTTGAGATCTTAATCAATTTACTTGCGTATCCAATCACAACATTAAAAATATAATTTTCTTTTTGTAAATTTCCTCTGCACGAGTACAAGGTCTAGGGAATTATATGCATGAATAATACACATGAAAGTTTAATGCATTTTTAAAATCACAAAAAGCTAAAGCAAATATTATCATGAGGAGGTTTGACACATCAAAGTATCAAACTACATTTTATAAGGGTTGGATAACTTTGCCCAGACATGGCTAACCTGAAACCTTTTTTACAAAAATAAATTAAGATAATTAATAATTAATAATGCATTACACTGCAAGTCAATATAAACTTAGCATGGTGTCTTTTAAGTACACAAAATAGTAGAAATAACCCTACTGAAACTAGGCAGCGCCATGCACATAGTACCTCATAACTCATCAAAACGAGTTTCTGTACACTGAGAAGATAACAGGAGTTTATACTGAGAATTGACATGAACAAGAAATGCTGATTTAATCTCTCCTTCATCAATTAGTTGCCTTTTTTACTCCAATTTCATAGAAAGGAGTAAATAAGGGGGCATAGTGCTTCCATTTATCATTGAATGAACATGCCTAAACGAATTCAAATGATTCGATGTTAAAAATGAAAAAAAAAGTATTGAAAAGAGTAAAGTATATATATTTATTTAACATACCAGCCACTCCAATGATTCCAGAGTTCTCTTTAACCCAGTCAGACTGTGCATTTTAAGCTTCCGTTTCCTTTTCAATGTTAGCGTAGGACTCTAAAGAAAAGTCGAATCCCAGAAAAGTTAGATCCCAGAAAGATGGCAACAATCATTTTTGGTAATTAGGCACCATATATTATATATATTTTTCTATGTCTAATTGTCGATGTACTGAAAGTCTGAAATTCCCTCACACAAGTGTGTATATATATATATGTGTGTGTGTGTGTGTGTGTGTGTGTGTGCGCATTTTGTATATGTATAATATAATATATTTACTAGTTTTGAAATGTGTGTTGCGCAACTAAACAAATGCCCAATATTATTTGATTTGCAAAACATTTTCGCAAAGTATATATTTCTGATAGAGATAGAAGTCTATTGGGTGAAACCTTTAAGAACAAGTAAGCGAAAGGGTTCAATTTGTGGAAGAGAGATATTTCCTTTACATATCAATACATCATCTTCCAAATTTTTTCTTGATATGATAATTTAAATTAGACTCAAACGTATGTACATAATAACGTATCTACCTCTATATAAAAAGAGGTGGATTTTCTGATCTGGCCGATTTCCCGCTCAAAAACATCACATCAAAGAGAGGCGAGAGTGGGCCAACGCATATGCAATTATCCGGAGGTTAAATTGTGTTCTCTCGATCGGATGAGGAGCACTCACGCAAACAAGCCAGCTTGGGGAATTGTGTAATGCGGCATTGGAATGGGAAAAACTTTACTCATTCCACATTTATTATTTTGGGCCTCATTGGAAATGACAACAATTACACTCCTTTGTAAGTGATCTGAGAGTTGAGAGCGTGAGAGAGAGTCACAGTGATTGAGATTGCCGATGGCAGAGATGGGCTAGAGGGCAGCAAGCGAGTCGCCGGAGTGGGAGGTTTGGGCTATTGCCGACGTTGCAGAAGCGGTCAGTAGTTCGGCTGGGCCGCCTAGGCAAGTAGACGGGCTGACGCAGGCAAACGGTGTCATGACGCGACGCAGATATCGAGGGACAGCAAGTGACGGGCGACGAGGCGAGTGGCGGACGGGCGGCCTACGTGTCTCTGCGGCTTGCTGACTTCACGAAGCGAAGAAGAAAACAGAGAAGGGCTACTGGTATCAACGTATGGTTAGAACTATACACCACCTGTCACTTAATCTCAATAAAGAGAAGACCCAAATGAAATGGTAAGATTTAGTTGAAAATTTTGGAAGAAGCAAAAATAAGAAAACCAAATGAAATTGTAAGATTCGTATTGATGCTTTTGGAATGAATACTCTTGGTAACCTATTTTAGTAGTCAAAATGATGAGTTTATTTTGATTAGGTTACCTGTTGAAATCCATACTTGCTTGGATCAACAGTATTTGATTGTCTTCTCAGGTATGGTTATTTCAGAGTAGCTCAACCGCAAACATAGCGAGTGTGGTTACAAAAGAAGCTAACGAAGATATGACAAATAAAAAGCAGGTACTATATTTTGTTCTTGCGTTTTTTGTTTCTTCTTAAACAAGTCCTTAGCTAAATTGCCTTTTTAACTAAACAAGTTGTTGAGAACGATGGAGATGCTGTAACACCAATTCTTATGTCGCAGAAAGAGGGATGGAGATGCTGTAACACCAATTCTTATGTCGCAGAAAGAGGTTGCTATTGATCTGGATGACCATATCAAGAGGAAGCTGGTTGATGAATTTTCAACCAATGGCGAGAAGAAGAAACATAAAATCAAGATCAAACAGGAAGTGGAGTAGGTATATTTCAAGAAATCTGTGCTAATGTATGCATTGTCTCTTAATGACCTATATGTATTTTGATTGACAAACTGTTTGATTAAAAATCATTGATTGGAGTTTTGCTAAGCTTAAACTTATTAATGTGTAATAGTTTCACCGTAGAAACTCATCCTGATTGTTTTTTTGTTAAACCTAACCTAATTGATGTGTAATAGTTTTTTTGTAGGCTCTGGTATTTCTGTTTTATGGTTGGTTGATATCTGGGTTCTACAGCATATGGTTTCTTCCAGTTTGGCCCTGGGATTCTGATGTAAAGGAACGACCAACAACTTCTTTAACTAATTTCCTTTGCACCGTAGTTTTATATTGAAAAGTTAATAAGAATAGAATTAACTATTTTATCATTTGCACTCTTCAATGGAATTTACTATTTTATCCTTTTCTTAAAACAGAATGTCATGCAGTTTTAAATAAGAATAGAAACCATTCAGAAAGATGCATGCAATAGAATGAGTGTTCTAAATGGTTAAATTGAAATGTGTACTGTCATTGCTTTTGATCTACTTAGAATTATAATAAATAGATGGTGAGCTTACTGCATATTGCTTTGTCCACAGGGTTGGTCTGGGGCACTATGGGCATTGTTGCTGGAATGGTGAGAGTAACTCATAATGCAATGTTTGATGTTGTTCTTAGTTCTTACTGTCGTTTTTGTTTTAGGATAAAAGTAGACATTTTAGCAAATGTATTGGTTGAAGATACATATGGTGAGAGATATAATTGGTAGAACGAGGCTTATTCTATAAGATGTACTTAGTATTTGACTGTATTAGTCAGCTAATTTAATTACTGCTAACACAATACGAACTACGAAGTATAATTAATTCACATAAAAAATAGTTGACAAGTTTAGAACTACTACGTAGCATATAATAAAAAACATTATCTTATTAAGTGGGTCCTTTGAGTGATCATTCACGATTTTTAGTATAGCTATTTCATTTAAGTTTTAGCTGATACAAATTACAAATATCTGATTATAACTTCTTAAGATATACAGAGTACTTTATGTATTACTCCGTAATATAAAGGGAAATGATCGATAATTGTTCTTTATGCAGACCTAATGCCAAAACACCATTTATCGGTCATGGAAAAAAACGGGTCAGGTAGCAAACCATTATGAAGTGCGCATATTGAAGAGCGGATTGTTATCCAACCCGTTGATGTCTAGACTTTGTTTAATTGTTAATATGCTAAATAAATGGTGTTAGCACAATTTTACTACACCACTATTTTAGAGAGTGCTTTGTTTAAAGAAACACCATGAATCTCTCGGAAGCATCTCACCCGGATTCAAAATCAACTCTACTACGGGCATTTCCGCATTTATTTCCATACAAAGCTAAATTAATTATCCGTGAAATATGATGCTAGGAAGTTGTAATACTGAAATTGACTCTAACACCTTCGAGTGCAAGAATATTGTTAATGTTTTAGAAAAGACATTTTTCGATCATGCCCTCTTATATCATATCATGACTAATTAATAGTCGAGGTTAATCTTTGTCACATGTTGGCCTATTTTTAAAAAACTATATTCACTCATTCTCAACTTTATGTAGCAGTGTTGAGAATAACAAACGTACATGTTTAAGGTTATTGATTTATAATAAAAATAACAAACAAATCAATCATACTACGAATGTTATTTACAAATAAGTGATTCAAAATGTAGGTATTTCATTGTTTGTAATGTTTGTCTTCTCCCAAAACATTGTCATTACTTCCGCTCTTTTCTTTATTCACCACTTCACTCTAAGTATGTATGACATTTATTATACTTATACTACTTTTTTTTTACACTATATTTTTATGAAACTTGGGCATTAGGAGTTTATGCAATGTAGTAAATAAATAACACGAATTTTTTTTTAAAATTTTGTCCCGTGCATCGCACGGGTGAAAATCTAGTATAGATAAGGGAGGGAGGGTGTGTATTTCAATGTGATGCAATCACTTGTTCAGTTGGGGGCAAAACTGCAAAAGCTAATCCAAATACCTTTATTTCACAAATACTCTTATTTCCCACTCACAATTATTCTGGTCTTGACCTATCCTAATCTTAAATTGAGTGCAATCAACCTTGTGCAATCCCTCACCCCATCCTCACGCCTACGTAGTAGGTAGCTCAGTGCCAACGCTCCTGTTCACTTCATTGCCCCCTATTTACACATGCTACCTAGCAATCTCGTCCCACAACCAGCTCTCTCCCACATACAAACATATATAAGCCCATTAGCCCGGTGATGGATTTCAAGTATAAGCGTGCAGCTTAGGCACTTCTGTCAATCTTCCGTCAATGCACTTATGCAAGTATTGATAGGATTAAAATCGATTTCAGCAAATTTGCTTTGCAGTGTCAATCTTAAAATACAACTATAAGATCACGATAGAAATGTTGAACCATGTAGTAGGGAATTCATAAGTAAAAGGAGTAAACATGATCATGTTTTATCATTTGATTTTGTGGAATTTAAACACTTGATTACTATCACCATTAACTGGTGTTTTTTACATGTGCACTTTATATAAAGTTTTCAAACCATGGCTTTATCACTCTGTAACCTAACTATAATTGGGGGGTTTCCCTAAATATTATTCCCTCCGTCCCATTTTGGTTGTCCTACTTTCTTTTTTGGATTGTCCCAAAATGAATGTCTTGTTTCCTTTTTTGGCAAGAAATATGTGGTTCTTATCATTTCACTTTATTCTACTCAAATCTCAACCGCAACTTTTACTTTTCAACCACTTTATTAATAACCGTGCCAAATAGAAAGTGGACAACCAATATGGGACGGAGGTAGTACTAAATTAAGGTCAATTTAAAAAAATGTGACTACTTTTAAATATAGAAAACAATGTGACCATGTAACTGTAAAATGTTATGTAACTTCGATTTTTTCGTGTCACTATGAATTGTCACTACCGGATTTTAATGTCAGTTACGGATATCACCATTAGATTTTGATGTCACTGTCCCCGGAAAACATGTCACTGAGACCGTTTTCGGTTTAGTGAAATTGCCGCCACCGACACCGCAGCCGATCAGCCGCCACCCAGACTCCCATTAAGCCCCGAACACACCCCCGGCAATCACCCGCTGACAGCCACCGACCTACACCGGCCCCTCCCCATCCCACCAGCCCCGTCCCACGCCACCAGTGCCATCCCCAGGCCACCAGCTTCCTCCCCAACCCACCAGCCCCCTCCCAGCCTCCTCCCACCCCATCAGCCCCCTCCCAAGCTCCCTCCCCAACCCACCAACCCCTCCCAGACCAACCCACCAGCCTCTCCCAGCCCCCAACCCCTGCACAATCGCAGCCCAAAACCACCATGCCGGCACCACCGCCCACTGCCATGCCTGTACACTTGTAAATAGCCCTGCCCTTCCCTAGCCCCACTTCCCAGCACCCAACACCCTTCCCAGCCCAAATCGAACCAGCCTGGTTCGGGCCGGGCTCGGGCCGGGCTTTCTATAAATTTTCTGCCCATCATGTGTGGGCGGGCCCGGCCCGGCCTGCAAAAACGGGCCTAACCTCATGTCCATACCCGCCCGTTAGAGCGGGCCGGGTAGTCCACCGGGCCGCCCGGCCCGGGAAAACTTTAATTTTTTAAAGATTATATAATTTTTTTAATACTTTATAAATAGTATTACAACATTAAAAAAATTGCAGATACGCTTATAATGTTTTTAAGCCTGTCACCACGTACACAAAAAATATAATGAGAAACTATATCTTAAATTTAAAATTGAAGCACAAAGTATTATCTTTAACTACTAAAATATACTACATACTATGTATATTATATTGGTTGGACTAGTTGTTAAAAACTAAAAACTTAAATTTAAACACAATTAACTATAAATATGTATAAAGATACTTGCACAAAAAATATACTGAGAAACTATAGCTAAAATTTAAAAATTCAAACACAAAGTATCATCTTTAAGTACAAAAGTAGATATTATCTTGGCTGGGCTAGTTGTTAAGAACTAAAAACTTAAGAAAATGAGTTGGTCCAGTGGTGTTGAGCATATGTTGACTATGTTAAATTTAAATATAATTTACTATAAATATGTATAAAGATAAATTAATAAATATAAATATACATGTGTACATGTAAATAAATAAATAAATTAGTATATATATTGAAAAATGTATTTATACTAAATGTAGCGGGCCGGGCTCATCGGCTCGAACGGGCCTACACCCTAACCCAAGCCCACCCATATGTTATTGCGGGCCGGGCCGGGCCGGGCCCGGTGGGTAAATATATATGCCCAAGCCCACCAATTTGTGCGGGCGGGCGGGCTGGGCGGGCCGGGCGGGCTGGGCGGGCCGGGCGGGCCGGGCCGGTTTTGTACAGGTCTAGAACCAGGCCCCATTCCCAGTCCAAATCGAATCCTAGCTGCCGCCAGATATGCCGTCTTTGCCGCTCAGATTTGCCGGATTCGTCGATCGAGTTTGCTTTGAAGCCATCACATCTGCAATTTGTGCTGATTTCTTCACATCTGGATGTCATCGACCATAATCAATGAAGGTTCATCCATCCTCCATCGACACCACCTGAGAGAAAGGAGAAGAAAAAGAAATCGCCCGGCGCTGATTGGTGGAAGGAGACAGGTGACGATTGATGATGAGAGCAGCGAAGAAGAAGAGCCGGTGCTGCGATGCTAAGGCTGGGTGCGAACGAACAAAGGAATAGGCTTTGAGCTTTGCTGTCCGATCAGTTTAGTCACTTTTTTGTCTAATTTTAAATCAGGTCATACTTTTGTCTATGTAAAAGCCATTAGTAATATTTTTGACATTATTCCAATATAATTTTGTAAGAGTTGGAGCTAAAATGACTTCATTTGAACCCTCAAAACCTCAACCAAACCTTGGTGCAAAATGTAATGTGAGGTGGATTTCAGTGAACTGCTACTGACCTATTTTGTTTCAACTTCAAGTAATTAGTGTTAATTTCGAGTCATGGCTTTGTGCTTCTACAACCTTAAATTTTAAAATTTTCATGTTGAAACCTTGGTTTTGTCATTTGAAAAGACCCCTTAACTTTAAAGGTTGAAAGTTTGATCTTTAGGCAACCCTACATTTCATCTGACACACAAATACAGAGCCAAATAAAGTCGTAATGGCAGTTTTAGAGTAGAGTACTTCACATTTAAAAATGATATGATACCCCTCTATGTTTAAAAAAATTATTTAGAGTACTTCACATTTACATGGAATGGTCATAAAAAGTTCACACAGATAATATATTACCTTCACACAAAAGTATTTGTGGTCGAATTTGTGAATGACTTTACCACCCACAAACCAAAAAGTAACAGTTAAAGAAAGTCTTTAATAGCATCAAAGAAGAGTAAATACTAAATAAACAAGACCTTAGTTAACAATCTTAGATTAATATATACTCTTCATATCACCTGCATTTTGAAAAGGACAATGAACAAGCAAGTCTTGATTTCCTTGTAGTTGCAGATTAAGGGCCTTTGTTGAGCTTGGTTTTTCGGTTAACTTTTTTGTTTGTTCAATGTTAATCTGTTACATAGAGCATGATTCTTCTTAAGCAGAAAGTATAATGCAAAGTAAGAGTAATCTTGTCCCTTGACTTTTTTAGTATAAGTTCCATTTACACAAATTTTGAGTTCCCATACATTATTCTAATCAAAATGAGTTGTATTTCATTTACTTTTCAAGAGAAGAGAGGATGAGATTTTGGGGTTAGCTCACATTGTCGAAAAACTCTCATAGACAGATTATTGGGTGACGACTTCTTACATTCATTTCAATGGCTTCACATTGAAGATCTAGTTTGCAGAAAGGACTTCACTTTATAGAAAATAATTTTTTGAGATTCAAACTACATGTATGTGCAACTAAAGGGGAATTGAAGTATAAATCTGGAAAATTTAACATTTAGCTAAAGACATTTTACCCCTCATCTATGAGCCAAAGTTAAAGCAGAAAGCCAAACATTTAGAACTGAAGAAAAGTCTACTTATTAGGTAGATTTATGACCAAAGAGCATTCATTTGAGTAAATTTGAATTAATCCTTTTTAAAACTTATACTCGTATTATTTAGAAGAACATCTTCATGTCAGTTCTAAAAACTATTTCATGCCCCTATGAGTTAAGTACAATTTTGGAAGTGCTGGGCCTAATATAACTTTATTTGAACACTCAATACCTTTATAGAACTTCAATGCAAATTCTAACTTGTGAGTCAGATTTGTGATACAGCTTTACTTAATGTATTATACAAAATCAGGACACAATTTTGGATAAAGCATAACTACATTTGACTGGCTTGTTAAAGAAGGATGGGTTCAAATGGAGTGAGGAAGCTAAGGGGGCATTTTAGAAATTAAAGCTGGTCATGACTTCCATTCCTGTACTGGTTACCCCAGATTTCAACAAAACATTTGTAGTGGAGACAGATGCCTCAGGACAGGGTATTGGAGCTGTGCTAATGCAAGATGACAGGCTTGTAGCTTATATGAGCAAAGTACTATCATTAAGAAACCAGAATAAATCTGTTTATGAAAGGGAACTAATGGCTATGGTAGTAGCTCTAGTACAAATGGAGGCCCTACCTGATGGGCAGGTGTTTTGAAGTTCATACTGACCAGAAAAGTTTGAGATTCCTGACTGAGCAAAGACTTTTGGGGGAGGAACAGAAATGAATCACCAAACTCCTTGGGTACAATTTTGTGGTTAAATACAAACCAGGGTTGGAGAATAAAGCAGCCGATGCACTGTCCAGGAAGGGTAGTTATCAGGATCTTTCAGTGATTAGTTTCCATGAATGCAGGACAAATGCCTCCCTCAACACCTAACCTAGCAGCCAAACTGCTGGGTTCGATGCGCTAGAATGAAAAGAAATCGTGGAGGCCACTCAAGTAGGAGGCTGTGTTAACGGAGCAGAACAGGATGAACATACATCTTGATGGAGAAACGGACATAACATTTCAGTATAAAAACCGTTCGGTACAACTATACAAAGCTATGATGTTACACCAACAAATAATTTATACCCAAATTAGCCTAACCTTGATTCATGTTTATAAGTTTGTAAAAAATCCATGAATTGTGGACGTTTATCTAATAAGAGAAAAACCCATTAAAAGATTATCCACAATATTATACATAGTATTAATCAGCTTTTGTCTCGCTTTCATAACATGTGTGCACAACAGCATCATGCTTTCATTATAGATACTCTTGGTTATAAGAAGACTAACAAACATGTAAAATTTATATACAAAATCAACTTAAAAATGTGTAATCTAAGTTGCAAAAATCTATATAAAAGCAAAACACACAAAGTAATATTAAACCAAATTACTTGAGAGTTGAGAGGGCTAACAAATACTGCCCAACATAGCAAGATTAGCAACACTAAGTGAACTGTTTCTATTTTTTTTTAAAGTATCTCAATTTCATATGTCAATCTTCACGCCTTTAAGTTTTTTTGGATGAGCCCTGGCGGACTGGCCGGGAAGTTGAGAGAAGAGGGAGAGCCCAGAGGTGGTGTATGTGGATGGGTTGACCAAGAAAATGCATATTTATTACTCCCTCTGTTTTGCAATCAAAGTCACACTTTCCTTTTTGGATGTTTCAAAAACAAAGTCACACTTCCCATATTTCCTTATTTGGCAAAGAAATTTACATCAAAATAGTGCCAAACAGTGTCAAAACAGTGCCTAAACAGTGCTCTCTACAGTGAAGTCAATTTATTTCGTTGATCCTAGAGAAGTCAAACCGTGACTTTGATTGTGAAACGGAGGGAGTATTTGACTCCTAGATCTGCTGCTGAGATTCTTATAGAGGGAGTCTAGTTGGAGTAGGTGTCAAAGCCAGTCAGTCTTTAGTACGTCTTTAACCAATTGCTTATTATATCTGGAATGGTCACGCAGACCTTTAGCAATGAAACGTCAATAACACTTAACATAAATGGGTCCAGTGATATAGACAATACATATTTGGAATGATTATATTATACAACATACCTTCCGACATTTTTGCCAAAACTTTTTCCGAATTCTTATCATATGAAGACATGTATCTTGGATGTCAATCATTAGATTTCGGAGAATGCTATCCATGTCCTCACGCTCTTTGTCCTTGCACTCAATGACGGGGAAAAACTTGGCCACCACTTCTTCAACTTCACGTTGCACTTCTTTTATGGGCAACAGCTTTATGCACTACAATTAGGAATGTAAGGCAGTTATGGTGCAATTAGAGACAATTGATGTAGAACAATAATAATAAGAATAATAATATTATATTTATTATCTTTGCTTATAAAATAAAAGACAAAGATGGTTAGTATAGTGCTTTTCCGTGTAAGCATGTAACGGAGTCAGATAAAACTTAATGCTGCTTCCAACAATGGGTCTTCAACCTATGCGTCCATTTAAATGTGTTAAACGGCCTTGGAAGTAGGAACCGCTGCTCAAGAAGAGTACATTCTTCTGATGGCGGCATTTTCCTCTAAGCATTTCCATTTGCTAAAATATCTCTTTACGTAAGGTATTCCCTTCACCTCATCTATTCAAATGTTATGCTTCTTTTATTGTAGTACTTCAAGCTATTTAAATCTCTGAAACAAACATACATTTTTGTGTAAGAGCGAATTTTGTTCATGTAACTTAATTGATCTTATCACTCATACAGTACCAATTTCATCATTTGTTTAAACACCGCTCCTGGATGAACAACTTTGGGGGATGAGTGTCGGTTTTCGGGATTTTTACAATTACTCTTACTTATTGCCTACATAATATTCGATTAAATGCCTCTTATGTTGTTCATAAAATTACCTGTCATGCTTACATTAATTGGCAAACATACCTCATTGAAAAATGTCCTAACAATACTAAAACAAACACCAGTCTTCTGCATTTTACATATTTTGATTTTATTGTTCCAGGTATATGAAAATAATCATCCACTACTTACTATGTCTTGGCAATTTTAAAAGTTAGCTTCACAAACTTAATTATTATACTAAGTTCAATCTCATAAAATTTCATAACTTCATAGTCACAAGTTCACAACCTTATTTATAGTTCGTAATAATCATCATTTATCCCAATACCATCTCTATCAACACTAAAAAAAAATCAAAATTGGCCCTAGATAAAACCAAAACGTTGGATCTTATAGCATGCCTTCTTGACGCTAACTGTATTAATTCTTACTCCTTTTGAGAAGTGCAGGCTGTAGGTTCAGTTGATATTGTTTAGTTGAGGAAACAGCAAACCAAAGTGAAATTCTTTAAAAAAGAATTAACTAAGCAAATACTTTATTATAAAGTCCATTCGTTTCATGTTTATAGCCATATCAAACCAGTATTACCTAATAAACAAAGACCTTGCATGAAAAGAAAACACTTGGAACACTGTAATCCTTGAGAAATAAAATTAGGTAGAACGGGCAACACACATGACATATACATGAAAGACAAAAAAACACAATATGGAAAATTCTTTTTATATGTAGGCATAAGTCTGTCACATGCAATTTTGGACGCGATTTTCACTATGTGTCATCCAGAAACAGTCTCTTTGTGCTTTAGTACAGAGGTAAGACTGCGTACATCCGATCCCCCCTTACCCCACCATAGATGGGAGCCTTTGCAGGCTTGCAGCACTGGGGTAAATGAAAATGAAATGAAAATGTAAGACTGTCACAATTTAATGTGGAAGCTTTTTTTAAATACTCAGTCTCAAAGTCTCAAAATGAAGGAGATTAAAGGGAGTATGATATTCAGTGTCTCAATATGTGGAAGATTTTTCCTTATCTTTCAAAATCTAATAGAAGTGCAGGGTGTTTTCCATTACTATAAAATTCTTTGCACTTTGTTTCATCTATTAAAAAGTTTGCTAGGCATCAAACCCCATTTTAAACAACTACCGCTCATTGCTTTTCATATCACCACAATTAACAAAACATCCAAAGTAAACTGCAAATTTTCATGCACTTTAATTCATCCATTCAAAATTTGCAACACTTATAACCGAATTTTTATTCAAAAAAGTGCTTGTACTTTTCAGTTTGTCCCCCTTTAATTTTTTTAACCATATAATGTACAAATTGTTATTGCTCCATTTTGTATCCGCGCAGTTTATAAACAACAAAATTGTAATGCGCTTTTCATGATCCATGACTCATGAGTACTGAGCCCGTTTCTCAGAAACTTACAGAGATCTGCTTGTATATAGGTGGATACGAACATCAGAATTCCTTTTTATACCATTTTTAAAATGAGTGTTTTTATTAATAGAAAACTTAGATAAGTATGTGTTCTTTTCTCAGACATTTTAGAGTCTTTAGACTTTCGATATTCTCTGTCCCAACATTGACTTTTAAGACATTTCCTTGCCTTGACTCTATTTCTCATTTTTCGTAACTTCCGGGAGATTTTATCATTTTTTCAAAGTTAATGGGCATTAAATGTAAAGTGCAGTGTGGTTTCCTTCTTATAAAAATTCTTAGCACTTTTTGACTATGTTGTAAAAGCTTGACCAGGTGACCCAGACAAATTACTGGGTCAAAGGTTAACTTGGACCCAACGGGTCAGCCTGGTCAACGACCTCTATTAAAAACACCTCTAAGATCCTTTGTGAATATATATTGTTTCTTCTTGTGTCTACAAAAATCGTACACCAAATAAGAAAGCAATCCATTACATTAAATAATTAAATAATAATAATAATAATAATAAAATAGAAAAAAATGGTTTCTCATGCACAAACACAAACACAAATACCATCATTATCATCAAATAACAAGGATTCTTCATTTTTCAGTTCTCTCTGGGAATGTTTTTGGCTATGTTACTATGTTCATGACTACATCTCTTGGCACCAATGAATCTTGAAATTTTAAATACACTAATGCCCATTTTGGTTAACTTTTGTACTTCCATGGAATTGTGGCTGGAATTGCTCTATTTGGCTTTATCTTGATAGTCATTGATGGAACTAATACTTAGCCATGCTGCCATACATAAGAAGTATTTTTTTTACTTCTTTTCAATGACTACATTGGTTCTAAAGCCACACAAAACCATTGATTCTAACGCTGCATAAAATGTTCCATCCAACATTCACAAAACCTCACATGTTTACTTTTATAAAGCATGTATGCCTTACATATAAAAACCAAGACTTTGAGGTTATGACAAAGTACATTACAATAATTTAAAGTTCTTATGGATCAAACATGCCAGGACTTTGATTTCAGTTGATTTTATTTCAATCTTGTATTAACCAACACATTGTGTGCAAAGTGCAAACTCTCAATTTTCTAATTATCAATTAGATTGGTTATATTAACCAAAAGTATGCATATTTATATAACTCGAACTAATTACACATATATAATCATAGCAAAACAATTAAACATATGTAATAATTCACTAATATATGTTGGGCACAAGTCACACGCAGTGCGTACACTGCTAGTTATGAGTATAAGATTGATTGTGGCAGCTTAGATACCTCAATTTGCTCTTTTATGCACTTCTGGAAAAATAAGTGGTCCAGCTGTTTGTGGTCTTCTTCAACAGATTTCTTGACCATGTCTCTTTCAATGTCTTGCATCTTTTTAAGATGAGGATAGGCATCACCCCATGCTTTGGTTTGTTTGTAAAAAAATAGCTGTCAAAAGTCAACAGAAAAAGGTTGGGAACAAAAACTGAATACATAGTGGGACTAAATTGACCGAACAACAAGGCAAAGAATCAAGAAACAAAAAGAAATAAAAAAACAGAAAATCAAGTCACATACTTATATGTTCATAGAAAAGTCTCATCTATGAAAGTATTCATTGGGCTAAATTGCATTTTATTGTTGTTACTTAAGCCAAGGTTAAAGTTTAGCATTAAAAGTGGTAAATTAACTGTTCAAAAGACCATTAATTAAGCATTAATGTTCTAACAGAAAAAATTCTATGGCTGATATGGCTATCATCTTACCCCACGATCAATCTGATCCACAACAGAAATCTCATATTTAAGATCATCACTTTCATCAGCAAAACTATCAAGAACGCAATTTGTTAATAGCAATCTGACTATTTCCAAATCTCTCTCTTTCAAGTCAGCAGCCAAATTACTTTCTTCTGGTGTCAACAAGGCCTCAGAGTTCTGCAACAAACAAAAATAATCATGAGAAAGTTTACCAAATCAATCGTGTTAGAAATAAAGAGGTATTATCATTTCCTAGGATACCCGCTCAAGAACTTTATGAAGCAAATCAAAGGTCTTTCTCGTCCACTCAAGGACGGTTGAAAGTTCCACACAATGAGTACGCATGGCTTGCAACCTAACCAAGCTTTCCTGTTTAAAGAAAAAGCAGTATTATTAGCCAACAGTTCAACCAAAAGCAAGTGTTAGATGTATATATTTGTGTTTTCATCAAACCTTTAATTGGATTCGCCTAGACTTCATCTCTTCTTCAAATTCCTTGAGCATCTTTATTTTCTGCTGGCACTCAAGGCAGGAACAAACCCTAAGGAAATCATATTCCTTTGGAAATAGATCGCAAGCATGTGCTGCCCTCTGTTCCTCCCATTCATCTTTCAGTCTTTGCTCAGCCATGGTCATGACCAGCGTAAAAGAGGAATCGGGACCCGGAATGGAAAGAGATTTACAATTTCATAATTTTTTTATCATTTACTAGAACTTTCATAAAAAAGTCAAATAAAAAAAATTAAAAATTGTTTATCTATAGAAGGTTCTGAGTTGCTATTTATTATTTGTGAAGGACAGAGGAGTACCTATTTATTATTTTTAAAATTGAATTATTTATCTTGAGTTGCTATCAATTTTTATTCACAATTGTTTGAGGGTTTGTGAACTTTTTTCCTTTTTTGGTACTCTTTTAAGTATTCCTTAGTGTATATGGTTTTATGACATTGACATTTGTACTAACAGTTGGTTTCTTTTTGTTGTGTAGTTTTTTAATTGACTTATCATGTTTAATTTTTAGACGAAATGTTTATCCATGTAGGTCTCGAGTGCCAGCAGTTTTTTAGAGGAATTGGGACCGGGAAACTGTCATATAGGTCCTCGAACTTTCATAAAAAAGTCAATTAAGTCCTTCTATAGGAGACTCTGTCCGGTCGTCGCGATTTGGGACGGTTCCCGGTGGAATTTTTTGATGAAATTTTTTGAGCATCTTATTTATCAAGTCTAGTTTACTCATACCAAATTTCAGCTAAAAATTTAATCGGAAGCGCATTCAAATTAATTCGAGAACGCAAAAATGCGCAGTTATCTTCAAGAATTAATTTGAATGTGTTCCCGATTCAAATTTAAAGGTCCAGATGGTCTCCTATGTCCAAATCTGAAGGACTTGGTATGCCTGGAACTAGAGCTGTCAAAACGGGCCGAAGCCCGCGGGTTGGCCCGTTTCAACCCACTTATAAGTGGGTTAGAGTTATAATTTTCAGGTCCGATTATTTTGCGGGCTTAGTGGGTCAACCCTAATGGGTTGCGGGTTTAGCGGGCCAACCCGTACGGGTTGCGGGCTAACCTGTGGGCTGGAGACAAAAATCATATTTTCTAAGTATCTATTAATAATTCTATATAGGACGGTTCCACATAGTAATATACTATGTTTAAATGAATTTGAATCACAAGGTGCAAATGAGTGTGATGACTGCACGTGAGTAATTAAATGAATTTGTTTTATGTAGGAGTACTATGGACCCAATGGAATCTGAATCACAAGGTGCAAATGAGTGCAATGATGCTCAACCAAATAAAGTGACACATGATAGTTCTGAACTGTCATCTACTTAACTGGATGGAAGTAAGGAAATAGGTACGAAAAGAGCCCTTACTTCAGATGTGTAACACCCCGATTTTTATGAGCTAGTTATATTAATCATTATTATTTATTTTAGTCAGTTAAATAAATTACTTCTATGAATAATGTGATATTCTTTTACCATGTTTTATTTATGGCAGGTAACGTTGACCGGTAAGTTCCCTGAATCTAAAATAAATAAATAAGTATTGTTCTAAAGTTTAATCAGTTTATCTTGAAAGAGAAAATATTATTTTTCAGTTGGGTCACAAGTATTTTCTTAGATGACTAAACGACCCAAATTAGGTGTTTTTAGCCCAAATAAGTATCTTCTTTTTATAATAAAAGCCCTAGGATTAATGCTATGTCTACGTAATACGATACGCCTAAGACCGTAGAAAGTAACCTGCGTCTTCCCTAACCTTGATTGCGTCTCCTCTATGGTGTTCTCTCCCAAGACTTCACTTCCAAATCTGTTGCTTTGAGTCTCTTGGTTTTGAAACCTGGTAAGTTGAAATCTCCATGTGTATTCCATCTACTTATAGTGTTCTATCAGTATGGTTTAGAGGAATGAGTTTCTGTAAGGATTTTTTTTATCATTCCATTGATCAAAATAAAGGTTAGCCAAGCTCCGATTTAGTAAAATTGATTTGATTCTTTTGGTGTTAAACTGATTTTGGAAGACCCGCACACTATTTTGTTCCTTCAATTGATTTTGTTTTCTTTGTAAATTGTTTTAAGTGAATTGTTCTATGGTGAACAACCCATAACGTAACTTTAAATCTCAGTTGCTAACCTTCTTTCAGAAGCAAGTTTTGTAATTATCGAATTTGGGTGTTCTGGCAAATTATTTGTTTCAGTTATGCAAGTACTTCACTCCTAATTTTAGTGAGCTGCCGCATAAAGATTTTCAAGTTTGAAGTCGTGTTTTTAGCAGCAAGAAAAATTTATGTTTCAGTTTTGGTATATTCAGTAGATGATTAAAACACCAGCAGTATGCCCATCTTTCCTACTTAGTAGATTCTTACTATATAATTACATTTAATTAAAGATTATTAAAGAAGAGCTTTACCGGAAGACGTTATCAAGGTGCCACACTTATTTGAGTATTTCGAGTTCAGCTGTAAACAGGTAAGTTCACTACCACCTGTACATGTTTGTTCAACCAAATAAAAGAAAGAAGTCTTGTTGATTTTTAATAGATGATTTTAGTCTATTTTGCTATTATGTGAACTTGGTGAGTTTTTTTGCTGAGTTATTTTATTTGCTGTATTAAGTTATGATTATTATCTGGCATAGTCAAGAGTTTGTCAGTATTTTTATTTTCTGATTTAATGATGTTTTTATCCAAACGACACTATAAAAAGAACTAATACTTAAAGTGAAAGATTAAGTGATATGTACTCGGGAACAAGTTCCCACAGAGTTACAGAGTTATCAGTTATCAGTTTCAGAGAGTCCGATATGTTTAGTGGGTCGCTCCCCTGAGCTGTCGGATTGGCGCCTTTGAGTACATATCACGGGCCCACAGAGTAAAATTAGCCACAAAGAGATTTACAGAAAGTTTAATGAGAACTCTTTCAGAAAGTTTTACAGAAAGTTGTTTTTGAGATCTCTTTCAGAAAGTTTCACAGAGATGTTTTGAGAAAGAAATTTTGAGATCTTAGTTTTAAAAGGCGCGAGGCGGCGCGAGGCGTTTTCATTGATTTACCCGAGGCGCGAGGCGCTAGGCGGCGAGGCGCGCGCCTCACGGATCTTAAAGTCATATCTTTGGTAAAATATATTTATACTACTTTTACATGAAGCACTCTTCTCAAAAAGTGATAACATCACCAAAATAATTCAAACTATTAAACAATCTTAATAAACATCATAAGAGAAACCAAATATTCGTATTATTAAGACAAAAGCAAGAAATATATATTAAACGGCATCATTGCTAAAAGTCAAGACACAAAACTCAATTTTAAAACTTCAAAACGTAAATAATAAACTATGGTATTATAAAAAAAAATTAATAATAAAAAATGTCTTATATATTTGACAATTAAAAACAAATATTTAGGTACCCTACTCAGCCTGATTTAAAACAGACCGATAGAGGTAGTAACTGTACAATTTCAAGGTAATAAAATATAAAATAATAAGCAGCAAAAAAAAATATAAAATAAAACATACGGAGTACTTAATTAATAAACTAATACACGCATAAGAGAACAAGAAGAAAAAAACTTACCTGCGAGTTTTGCGATGCGAGAAAGCAGCGGAAGAAATAGGACTTGCAAGTCTTGAGCGCGAGACAGCAAGAAACAGCTACCGCAGAAGGAAGAAGAACAGAAAACTAGAAGAGACTTAATCGCCAAAAGAGAATTCTATGAGGCGTAAGAAGCGCGCGCCTCTCAGACGCGCAAAAAGCGTCAAAAAGCGCCGCATAAGGGCGCCTAGCGCCTTTGCGCGCCTCAGGCGCGCTTTTTTAAACCAAGTTTGAGATCTCTCCAGCTGTTTTGAGAAATTGTTTTAGGAAATATTTTTCCTTTTGAGATCTCACTCAGAATGTATTTGAGAAGTTATGTGTTAGTTATTTGCTCAGTGCATGCTTATAGCCTAAATTTGTCTATTGATAAATTGACTTAGACTTCTAGATATTTTTGTGGAGCCATAGTGACTTACTAAGCGTAAAGCTTATCAGTTTTCTTTCTTTGCATGTACAGATACTAAGGGTAAGGCCAAGGCCTAAGAAGATGATGAGGGAGTGGAACGCGTGCCAAGATGAGTTAACGGGAACGACCTTGGCGGCTTCTAGCTAGATATTATTTTTTTTCAGTATTTCAGTGTTATAATAAAGAGATTATAATTGTTTTATTTGAGGATTTTGATGCTTGATTAAATTCCTGGATCCAGGTGGTTATCACATTTACTGGTGATAATCATATTTTATTGAGTTTTTATCAAGAGTTATATTGTTAGTTATATTTGATATTTTATCAGGGTTATTTTCTTAAATAGACGGCCGTTAATTGCAATTTTTTTTAAAGTAGTAAGTTAGTGTAACGTTTCCTTTAACCCTGAGAGGGGCGTTACAAGTTTGGTATCAGAGCCCAGGTTGTCCCGTAACTTCATTTGTCACCGTACACGTGCTCGTCATCTTCCAAGTAAGTACTTAGTTGTGTTAAAAATTAGCTATGTGAAAGTATGTTTGCGTGTTGTTGCAATCGGTTAGATAGAAAAGTCAAGTATGTACTCAACTCATAAAATCTATGTGTTATTACGAGTTAGTTAGATTAAAAAATTATTCGAGTGCCTATATTCTTGAGTTAAGTCTTCTACTTCATTTAGGAAGTACTTGGGGCTGTTATCTGAAGACACCATCGTTCTAGTCATACACCTCTCAAAATTAAGTATTTGCTGCCTTCCATTTTAGCCTCAGTTGATCTTTCATAACAAGTATGTCTCCTACATAGAGGTTACTCATGATTAAAATCCGAGCAAAAAAAAAGTGTCATATAGTCTTTGAGATCTCTTTCAAAAAGTTTCACAGAGATGTTTTGAGAAAGAAATTTTGAGATCTCTCCAGCTGTTTTGAGAAATTGTTTTAGGAAATATTTTTCCTTTTGAGATCTCCCTCAGAATGTATTTGAGAAGTTATGTGTTAGTTATTTGCTAAGTGCATGCTTATAGCCTAAATTTGTCTATTGATAAATTGACTTAGCCTTCTAGATATTTTTGTGGAGCCATAGTGACTTACTAAGCGTAAGCTTATCAGTTTTCTTTCTTTGCATGTACAG